AAAAAAAATCATTGATATAGCAGCAAGAACAAACTGTTCTGCCAAATTTCATGCAAATCAGAAGATATATAGGGACATTTGTCCACCATTTACATAAAATCGGACGATAATACACTGGTGGCCAAAACTAAATGTGAAGCGATTTTTGAAAGGCACACATTATTGCCTATTGTTTCTATAAATTTCGTGCAAATCGGGTAGATTTATTCACTTAAAAAAAAGTAGTTTATTCACTTAAGAAAAATTAAATGAAAAAATATATATGGAGCTATGGACAAAACTAAAGTAAATCTACAGGTCAAGCATATTAGATCTAAAATTCTAGTAATTTTGCAGTTATAATTTCTAATCCCACCTATTTCGATTATTATAGATCATTTTCAATTTTTAAATGCTTGGACAAAAATACAAAAATTATACGTTGATTTTATGCAACTGTAAGTAGTGACAGTTCGGAACGGAGGATGGCTGCAAATTAACATCAGTTCGTACTGACCAAGAAATTGTCATAGCAGTAAAAGAATACACATTTAAGAGTTCAACGGAATTTGTGAATTGGAAATAACCTCAAGAACAGAGCGTGGACAGGCCCAGTCCTACATTCATGGAAACTATCAAGAAATTTCATTTATTTCTGAAAATAATCGGAAAGCCTTTTACCACAGCTCATACTAATTGTAATTCGACCCAGTCAAGAAATATTATGTTCACGGATGAATTAAAGAAAAATATTAAAGACTCAGACATGAAGAAATTACTGTGAGAAAGTCCAAAAATGAAAGGCTCATGTATTGCAAGGGTATTGCAAGGGTATTGCGAAGCAGTGCATGTTTATATTTTTATGGAGTTAGATAATTTACGAGATTTATGAAGTAATCGACCGGATTCTTTATACAAATGTGTTGGAAAACGCTATGGTTCCCTTCGCTGATGAAGATATACCGTTTTATTGGGTGTTTCAGCTTGTCAATAACCTCTAAACTAGGGATAAGTAAATCGACTTTCGACTAATCGACTTTTTGTATTGAAAAGTTTAAAAGTCGAAGTCGACTTTTGATTTATTAGAAAATCGTAAAGTCGACTATTCAAGATCGACTTTCGATTTTCTTCATAAATACTTGGTTTTTTTATCACAAAGTTCAAATTGCCCAAAAATTGCACTTTCCGGAACTTTGCTTTATCTGTTCACAATAATTCTTATAAAAAAATTAAATTTTTAGTCGATTTTGCAGATGTCGGTAAAAGTCGAAAATCGATTTTGAACAGTTTTGGCAAAATCGACAGATCAAAAAGTCCACATTTTCAGTCAAAGGCAAAAATCGAAAAGACTAAAAATCGACTTTCTGGTCAGAGGCAAAAAAAGTCGTCTTTTGTGCTCGACTACGTATCCCTTCTCCAAACATACACCAAAATGTGTCAAAGTTTAGTTGAGGGAGTCAAAAATCAGGGTTTTATAATGGCCATCATAATCATCAGATCTTTACTGTACAGAAAAATATTTGGAGTATCATAGGCAGAAAAATCAAAAGAGTTTCACAAACAAACAGACAAAACCTCTCCCCTGAGGTTGAGGATGCAAGGAATAGTGCACCCAAGTATTATCTATCCACGGTTTCGTGTAGCGCACATATAACCAGTTCTCCCAATATTCGGTATTTTGAAGATTTTGGGGTTTTTCAACCATTTTGGCAATAATTTGATATTTTTGGATCCTAATGGCAACAATAGCTTCCAAATTTCGGTATTTTGGTATGTCTATGCACTTCTGTCAATAAAATTGGATGAATAATTTGAATTCCCATTGGCCCAAATTTGGGGGTAATCTCGATATTACAGTAAGCCCATTATTGGGCACAAATATTTCAATTTAGGTCCTCGTTTACACGTAACCCCCATACAATGAGTCCTGTGTGTTTAATTGCATAGTTCAATTTCCCAACCAGAACATCTGTATTTCGTTTTCTCTTGGTAGTAATTTACCATGGCATAGTTCACATAGAAAAATACATATTAAACGTCATTGACAACTGATTAGGTTATTTTCGCGGATTAAAGGTCACTGTACCGGATTAAGACTTACTACTGATTAAAAGTCATTGATACCGGCTTACGGGCCATTTTTTGGCCACTTTTAATTAATTATCATTAAAAATGGTTCAAATGGTGGGTTCAACAAATGGGTATAATTGGTAATGTCTTGAAGTCATCTGCCTATACTAATTTTTTTTAGATAGGAGAAATATGCACTTTTCAGACAAAAATCCGTATTAAGGGAACCTCCCCCATTCTCGATTTTAATTTTTCAAGATTTTCACATATATATATTTGAAGATTTAAAATAGAAGAAAAGTAATTTACAAAAAAATGTTGTTGTTGTTTTTTGTAATTAAAGAAACGTCCTTATTTTTTATGGCGGGCACGATAACTCCTCACTGGAACATCGGAATCCGAAAATTCCAACGGTGTTAGAAAGAGTACATGTCTGTCTCTCGTATGAACTAGGATTATTGACTTCGCTCTAAAATTAACAAAATGGTGGACCTTTGAAAAAATATTTTTGGAAAATCGCCGATTTTTTACCAAAAACCAAGGTAAAAAATAAGGAAGATCTTCACTGTTTGGCTTTATCCTAGTTCATACGATAGCTATACACTCACAGAGAAACGTGTAAAAATTTGGAATCGATTGGGTAATTAGTTTTTGAGTTATCGTGCCCGCCATTCGCAAAAAAAATGTTTAGAGAAAAACGCGTTTAAAGTTTGAGAAACCCTTTAGCCGTCACTTGATGCTGACACAATAAATCGGCTATATCTTGAAGACTTCTTGAGATTTTCATTTGAAATTTTGTAGGCACATTTTTTAATTATATGAATAGTGCAATGTCGGGATATCTGCGTTTAATGAATGTAATTCATAAAACTGAAAATACTGATTTCTTGTGACACAAACATTTTTTGTCCTCTAAATTTTTCAATTTTGTTTTCAAGTTGTCTTCTTCTTGCCACGTTTCTTCTTCTTTACTTAAATGTTCATGTTCTGTTGATATATTGTATTTAGCATTTATATCGAAATAATTTGGAAAATGCATATGCGAATTTTGTAATACTAAAGCAGAGGTCGGTGTGTTTGAAATAAAGAAACTGTGCAATGAAAAAGTAGTCACAATCGAGTGAGGATGAAAGTCGTGCAAAAATAACAAACACCACATAAGGGGAGAGGCCGATAACGATGCCAAAATAAAACCCAGCCGAATTATGAATGGTGGTTGTAGTGATGCTTTTTCTTCGGAGGAAAACATTTGTTCTTATAACAAGAGAGAGGAAAAAAGAGCGCAACTACTGGTAAAGTAATCCGAAGTAGGAAAATATCTGAGATATTCATGTAATGTTTTCATGTTTTGGAGAAAAATAGCGGATTTTTCATAATTATAAAAATTATTTACTTTGATTTATTTGTATTAATAGGTATTATATATATTCGTATTAACGAAATTATAAAAAATATTCAATAATCGTTTTTCTGTGTAACTTCCATATATAAAGGACGATTTTTAAGAGCTATAGGACAGCTATATAACTTTTGTTAGGTTTTGTTGAAATTTAATTAAATTCTCATCCGATGTTATATAAATCCCCTTTTTTGCCTGTTTGACTAGAACAGTGAACCGAATTGAGTACAGAAGGATATGTAAATGTTACTCCCAGGACTGTACTTTTGTTCCATGGCACAAAGTTTTACAAAGCCTACCAATTTGAACTTAGAATAATGTGTGTTACAGACTGTAAAATTTGAATCGATTCAATTTGAACGAATTATTACCAAACATATTTTTTGATTCAGAAATTAAATGACATATTTTTCGGAATGACATTTCATTAGAACCAGTTCAAGCAAAGTGTGCGTCATTTAACCAAGGTTTGTAATTGTGCATATAGAACTGGATTTAGTCTGACATGATGTTTGTCATTTTTAAATTAAATTGATTCAAATATAATTATAGCTTCCATATATAATGTAAATGTGTAACAAAAAATCATTTACATATAATTCTGATTTTTCACTTCTTGTATATGCCCGAATTAGTGTAGGGAATCATATAGGCGGCCTGGTCCGACTTTACATAACATTCTAGATTCGTTATGTGGGTGTAAACAATTGTTGTTTAATACCAATTACTTAATCGCAATATATATTCGCGTGTTTATATTCTAATTGTTTGTTTAAATTTATGTTAAAATAAATTATAATAATAAAAAATAAAAACGGCTATTAAAGTTCAGTACACAGCCACTTGTCCACTAGAACCAGTTCGACGGCAATGACGACAGGTAGAAGTAACAAATGACCAAAACCACTACACACGAAATTGTACAGAGATAAAAAGTGATCTTTGAAGGTCTTTTAAATAACAGTTAACTGATATGAGCTAATAAAATGCATTGCAAGCCGATCAGCCAAGTCCAACAACAGCAACAACGACTAGTAGACTGGCAGACGTCTGCATTATCTTAACCTTGATTGGTCTTGAAATATATATACAAATACATGTGTAATTAAAAACCCACTAAAAGTTGACTTACAGGCAAACATAAAGGCCAGGTCCGTGTTTCTTTTATGCTGCATGACAAACCGACTAACATATCGCCAAAGAAATTTCCATTGTTAATTTATGCTAAATATATTTGTGTATCGCTATTTATTAATTAATTTATGTTATTGCTTTCGCTGGGCGCAAGCAGCTGCTGCTGCTCACCGTTTGCTAATTAAAAGATTGATTAGGTTTATAAGTTAAGACTACCGGTTGGTTGGTAAGATCAAGCGACCGATCGACCAACCAACCAAAAAACTAGTTTCAAATTTTGGTGATTTGGTACATTTTGAAACAAACCAGATGAGTTGTGTACGTGTGCATGCATTACAAAATCCGTAGTTAAGGTGTAAACATTAATGATTTAAGAAGAGGCTGGCTACCTCCTGCGTTGCTCATTCATCCATCATTCATTACAAACCCAATTGTTTGTATAAAATCGGTACATAATCATCATATTGAGCCTGATAGAAGTTGCCGGCCAATGGGGCACCCAAATTATATTTTGCAATGAATTTTTTGGTTGAGAATTTCTCACGTCCCGCAGCCTCAGTGTTGCTGAAACGTTTCTCATCGAATTCTAATTTTTTGGGTTGTTTAAACAACAAGAAGACATAACGATGAAGGCCAGTATCCTTTGGTGGTCCAGAGCCAACATAGGCACTCAAAACTTCACCTTTCTTAAGTTGATCACCAGGAATGTTACCCACCAGCCAATGATGCCATTCTCTCATGATAGGTTCCTTGCGGGAGGGAGCATCAGGATCGGTCATAAGTAGGGTATAATAGGTACCGGCCTCAGCTTCCCATTCCACCTTTGGTTCATTTTTCACTTGAGTGGGTGTCAATTCCACGCCTTTGTCTGCCAAGATGCCATTGTCATAGGTAATCTAAAAACAAACAAATTTCACACATTCATTAACATTTCTTTATGGCCCAGTTCTGTGGAACAAAATTTAATTCTAGCAACAAAATATATTTCACTCAATAATTAAAATTTCGTTATGACCCATTTTTATAGAAAAACATGTTTCTAGAAACAAAAAGAGAGAATACAAAAATCTCCATTGTCATAACACATTTTTTTTGTTTTCTTATTCCTTTACAATCACCTTTAGAAAATGTTTGGGTCCCTCGTCCAGGACATCGGGTATAACTTCTAAATGTTTCATAAACTTGGTTATTTCACTATCGCCCGCCTTTACAACTGCTAATCCGCCAATTAAACTTATCGCCAAAATATATTTAAAGGTCGTCATGTTTGTTTTTTGTATTTTATTTCAAAAATTTATTACTACAATTTTTTTTTCGAAGGCTGAGATCTTTATTGATTTAATGTTAAATGTTAACTGAATATTGCATTGATGAAAATCTCTGTTTTAAGTTTAAACAGCTGTATACCGTTCAATACGTTTTTCTTACTTTTCGTTTGGGAGCTTTTATTCAAAGTATTATTCAGACATAGCTTAAATAAATAAAGCTTATACGCGTAATGAATATAACTTTCAACTTACATAGCTATGTTGTTAACATAACCTAAGTCCTCTTTAGACTTGATGATATTTATATCAGTGTATGAAATTGATGTGAATTTATGAAAAAGGTTTTTGTAAAAATAAAAGTCCACATTTCTGTAGTTTTAAAATATTTCGAGGTGTTACCCTAATAATAATACAATACAATACATTACCGAGGTAACATCTCACAATTTTCGTTGGAAAATGATTTATATTAAATATTGACATTTTCTGGAACTATGAGGCTAAAAATGCTCGCGGGACAAATTGACTAAGGAACCACTTATTCTCAATTTAAAATATTTACTATAGTGAACTTTGAATAAGCTACAGCTTAAAAAAACAAGTTTTGTTAAAAAAATCTGTTATATACCAGAGACTCCTCTTGTGTCCGATTGGTTTTGTCCTCTGTCTCTTCCCTCAATTGGTTGTTGTTTGTTTTGCACGTGGTTGTTTAGAGTTACCTACTGTTTCTCTTGTTTACAACGACAATCTATTTACTCACTCCATTGTGGCTAGTTTTGCATTTCATTGTTTCTGTATTTCAGGCACTGCTACTCTGCATTGATGTTCCAAAATTCGCATATGTATTTTCCAAATTATTTCGATATAGATGCCAAATAAAATATACCAAACAAGTACTGATATGACAAGCTAGTGTGAACAAGTGTGTTGAGGACAAGCCAAAAGTAATTGTTCTAATGAAGCAAAAATCTATACTAATAAAAGAGTAAAAGTGATTGACTATATTAACAATTCATTAACGCCAGACGAAACGGCGATCCAAAGTTGTCAGATAAGGCTTTTTTTGGAAATTCGTATACAATATACATATACGATTGGATTTGGGTGAACCGAAAAATCTGGTACACTTAAATTTGGAAATAAGATTACTACTGCATTGTAGGTATGCTAGTAGTTTGGGAAATACGTACTTATGTATACTAAATTTGGTACAATTTGAATTTCGGGTGAATCAATAGCGCTGGAATCCTGAAATTTTGAGTTAGGATCACTCTTTGTGTGTAGGATTGGAGCTCGTAGGAAGTTTTGGAAATTTCTACTAATGTGTACTAAATTTGGTACAATTTGCATTTAGGTGAACCAATAGAAGGGAACACTGAAATTTGGAAAAAAGATTATTGTTGTAGTGTAGGATTGGGGGTGTGAATGTAGTTTTGGAAATTTGTACTTGAGGGTACTAAATGATACTAAATTTGATCCAATTTGGATTTAAAGCTGGAATACAAAAAAATTAAATTAATAGTACTAAAAAATGACATAATAATGAAATTAATATTACTCATAGTGCGAATAACTGGATATGTAGGTAGTTTGAGAATTGGTACCTATGTGTACTAAATGATACTAAATTTGAATACTTATGCGTACGAAAGTACTAAATTTCATGAATCCTAAATAAATTACATTAATATTACTGTTGGAGTGTAGAATTGAGGTATGTAAATAGCTTTGGAAATTCGTACTTACGTGTAACAAATGGTTCTAAATTTGGTACAATGTCGATTTAGGGTAAACCGATAGGTCAGCAATCCTGAATTAGATTGACTTTAGGTGATCCGATCTAATTTGGATTTAGGTGATCCGATAGAGCTGGAATCCTGATATGTGGAATTAAGATTGGGGTATGAGGGAAGTTTTAGAAATTCGTACTTATGATTGTTAAGGTAGGTAGGTATATTAATATGTACTAACTGTTACTAAATTTGGTTTGGGTGAAAATTTGAAATTTGGAAATTTTTTTGGAATTAAGTATTACATGAGTACACTGGGTAATAAATGATACCAAATTTAGAGAACATAGGTTCTAAATGGTACTAAAATTTTAATTATGGTCGGCATATGCTAGTAAGTAAATAAATTAAATGTCTGTGCCATAGAAAATCCCCCAACACCACCAAAAACAACTCTTTTTTCGCTTTCTCTCTCATACAAGAACACAGCATTTAAAGTTTTATGAATTCCTTTCATAAAATGCAGAAATCCGAGCAGTGGCAACACTTTCTGAACACTATTCATATAATATACGAAGTATTTTGAATAATGGTTGGTATTGTTTTTTAAAAAAAATTCCATATTCGTTAGTGAAGTAGGGGACATATGCTAGTAAGTAAATAAATTAAATTACTGTGCCATAGAAAATCCGTCACCACCACTAAAAACCACTCTTTTCCTTTCGCTCTCTCTCTCATACAAGAACACAGCATTTAAAATTTCATGAATTGTATTCATAAAATGCAGAACTCCGAGCATTAGCAACACTTTCTGAATATAATATTCGAAGTATTTTTTCTTGTGGCGAAGGGTATAAAAACTGATTAAATGAATTGTTTCAAATTATTATTATTTATTTTCAAAGACTTCAAATGTTTACTATGGAGCTTTGTGATCCTGCTATGAGCACATGCTCAGTTGTGGTAAAATCGGGTTAAAAAGACCGAAAAGCTCTTCAAGTTCGGTCAAAATTTGCTCGAATGCTATGACGTGTTGCACAGTATTGTGAAACCCTAATTTGGGATTTTACACCATTTAGGAACATATTCAGCTATTTCACTTTGTCTTAGGATGAAGCTTGGAGAAGAAGATACAACTATAAAATTTTATAATTATATATATATATATATATATTCACTGTTGCCTTCTTGCAGTGGTATTCCCATGTTTGGTGTTCTTTTAAAAAGTTGATGTTGCAGTTCTAACCTTGTTTCACATCAATCGTTTTCTGTGTAATGACTATTTATATTGTCACTGAAATTGTGATTGCATGCTATACAATATATATGTATGCATTATAAATATATGCATGAATGAACCAATTTTTTACAAGTTCCATTAATATTAAATATATTATTTGTTTAATAATCTTGCTTGCAAATTGTAGAGTATTTATAAATAATTATAGGAATGCAAATGGTTACAAATCGATAAATACCTTACAAATGTGATTTGGGACACGACATTATTATTGGCAGAAAAACACATTCGATAATTTATTTTAGATTATATTTGTGTGTGATAAATGTGATGTAATTACATTCATTATTTTATTATAAGTTGTGAAAAAGAAAATTATTCTATACCACATTTTGTTGCATGTTGGAATTTTCAATAGACCGAACGACCATATGATTAATATTTAAAAAAAATTGTTTACTTATTTTTGGTTTTGTTCAAGTAGCGAACATGAGTTTCATATGATAAAGGTCTTGCTATGGGTCTCTTGTGTAAAAGAGAGCACAATTAGTTAAACAGGGATCTATTTTCTATACATTCCACCTAAGATAAGAGATTTTTATATTAATAAATTATTGTGTAAATGCACAACGAAGAGAAAAGGTCCTTCACTCCACGAAGAATATCCGAGTCATATAGATCCCCGTTTGCAGGTTTAATTGGACCAAACACTACCACACTATAATTGACATCACTTGTTGCAATGCAACGCTTATACCACTGTTGTTGTTGAGTTTTTATGACGCATACGATGAGGAAATTCTCGACAGATCAAATTCTATTATTAGAACAAATATTTTGAGTTCGAGATTAGGCTAAGCAAGAGTAGTTTAAGTAGTACCTAAGGATACATAATTTACAATAAAATCAGTGCAAAATCAGAACAATCGGGAGCATCGTGTCTCATTTATTTCAAATACAGGCGAGCTGCGGCTGTCTGTATATTTTACATTTTTTTGGTCCTTCGAGTTAAGAGACTCAGTAGAATCAGCGAAGGAATCAAGCAAATGCAATAACAATTTTGAGTGAGGAGTTCAAGAATTGTTAGAGATTTTCTGTTCCAACAGTAGTTTACGTAGTACCTAAGGATAAATAATTTACAATAAAATCAGTATCTTACAACCACGCATAAAAATGGGTCGTATGGACCGTGTCTCATTTATTTAGAGTACAGATAGGATGCAGGCGTTTGGTACTGTTTATTTCAATACGTTCACTGTCGCTGCCAATGAGCAAAAAAGAAGTGGCCATTTGACCATCTACATGTTTATAAATTATCAATATCTACTCGCTTTGCTTCAGACTTCAGGAAAAATTTCGTTTTTGATTTCCTTAACCGATCATAATCAAAAAAATTGTATGTTTGTATTCTGATTCTGTGCATCTTGATATACTTATTATTTATTATTGGTGAAAAGGTGTACTATATAATTTAAATAACAACTGCGAGATTTGTCTTCTTTTCACGACCATTTCATTGGAATATCCAATTGTTTGTATAGAATAGGTACATAATCATCGTATTGCGATAGGAAAACATTACCGGCCACTGGAGTGCCCAATTGATATTTTTCCATAAATTGTCTAGTGTATAAATTTTCACGACCAGCAGCTTCGGTTTTACCATGACGTTGTTCATCAAATTCCAATTTGCCGGGTTGTTTAAATAGTAATATGATATAGCGATGTAAACCGGTACCTGGTCGGCCACCAGCACCAATATAATCATCTAAAACCTCCCCATTATCTATTTGATTACCAGGAATATTGACCACTAGCCAATGAACCCAATCACGCCAGGCAGGATTTGCACGAGATGGAACATCAGGATTTGTCAACAACAAAGTATAGTATGTGTCATCTGTCTCTGGCTCCCATTCGACATTCGGTGGGTCCTTTACTTGAGTGGGAGTCAATTCTATGCCTCTATCAGCCGATATGTCATCGCCTTAGGTGACCTAGGGAAATTGAGTTATAAAATAAAAAAGTAAAGTGCCCATTCATACCTTTAAAAACTGCATGGGGGCCTCATCCAGGACATCGGGTATAATTTCATGTTCTTTCATTAATTTTGTCAATTCACTGTCTTCGGCATTTACCACAACAAGTACTACACCAATTAAATAGATAACCCATATATATTTAAAGGTATTCATGTCCTTTTGTCAATTACCGTCCAATTTTTATAGGTTCAGATTATGGTGGCCTCAATGAATACTGGGTATTGAGATCAACTGAAAAAAACTATTTATATTCAAAATTTAAACCATTGTAGTCACAAAATTGTGATGTTGCACGCAATTTCATTATTTGCAGAGGCTTTGTACTGGATAATTGACCACATTTAATAGCTAAAAATGTTGATAGTTACATATTTGTTTCAGATCCGTCGAACCTGTAAATAATAGTCCATAGGACAATCACAGCAATAGGCGTGGATTTTTAAAGAATATTTTTTCATGGGCCATCGGAGCAATAGGCGTGGATATTTAAAGAATATTTTTTCATGGGCCATCGGAGCAATAGGCGTGGATATTTAAAGAATATTTTTTCAAGGACCATCACAGCAATATGCGTGGATTTTTTAAAGAATATTTTTTCAAAGACCATCACAACAATAGGCGTGGATTTTTTAAAAAATATTTTTTCAAGGACCATCACAGCAATATGCGTGGATTTTTAAAGAAAATTTTTTTAAGCACCATCACAACAATTGGCGTGGGTTTTTTAAAGAATATTTTTTCAAGGACCATCACAGCAATAGGCGTGGATTTTTAAAGACATTTTTTCAAGGACCATCACAGCAATAGGCGTGGATTTTTAAAGACATTTTTTTCAAGGACCATCACAGCAATAGGCGTGGATTTTTAAAGACATTTTTTTCAAGGACCATCACAGCAATAGGCGTGGATTTTTAAAGACATTTTTTTCAAGGACCATCACAGCAATAGGCGTGGATTTTTAAAGACATTTTTTTTCAAGGACCATCACAGCAATAGGCGTGGATTTTTAAAGACATTTTTTTCAAGGACCATCACAGCAATAGGCGTGGATTTTTAAAGACATTTTTTTCAAGGACCATCACAGCAATAGGCGTGGATTTTTAAAGACATTTTTTTCAAGGACCATCACAGCAATAGGCGTGGATTTTTAAAGACATTTTTTTCAAGGACCATCACAGCAATAGGCGTGGATTTTTAAAGACATTTTTTTCATGGACCATCACAGCAATAGGCGTGGATTTTTAAAGACATTTTTTTCAAGGACCATCACAGCAATAGGCGTGGATTTTTAAAGACATTTTTTTCAAGGACCATCACAGCAATAGGCGTGGATTTTTAAAGAATATTTTTTCAAGGATCATCACAGCAATAGGCGTGGATTTTTAAAGAATGTTTTTCAACGACCAACACAGCAATAGGCGTGGATTTTTTAAAGAATATTTTTCAAGGACCAACACAGCAATAGGCGTGGATTTTTAAAGAATATTTTTTCAAGGACCATCACAGCAATAGGCGTGGATTTTTAAAGAATATTTTTTCAAGGACCATCACAGCAATAGGCGTGGATTTTTAAAGAATATTTTTTCAAGGACCATCACAGCAATAGGCGTGGATTTTTAAAGAATATTTTTTCAAGGACCATCACAGCAATAGGCGAGGATTTTTAAAGAATATTTTTTCAAGGACCATCACAGCAATAGGCGTGGATTTTTAAAGAATATTTTTTCAAGGACCATCACAGCAATAGGCGTTGATTTTTAAAGAATATTTTTTCAAGGACCATCACAGCAATAGGCGTGGATTTTTTAAAGAACATTTTTTCAAGGACCATCACAGCAATAGGCGTGGATTTTTAAAGAATATTTTTTCAAGGACCATCACAGCAATAGGCGTGGATTTTTAAAGAATATTTTTTCAAGGACCATCACAGCAATAGGCGTGGATTTTTAAAAAAAAAAGTTTTCAAGGATTTTAAATTTTTTATTTTTAAAGATATTTAACACATACAAACATATTTTATATAACGTACAAGTTTTTCATTCATTTCATTGGAATACCCATTTGTTTGTATACAAGCGGTACATAGTCATCATATTGAGCTACGAAAACATTACCAGCCCATGCAGTACCCAGATTATATTTTTCCATAAATTTCCGTGTGTAGAAGTTTTCCCGTCCAACAGATTCAGTATTGCTGTGACGTTTTTCATCAAATTCCAATTTTTCGGGTTGTTTAAACAGCAGTATGATGTAACGATGTAATCCCGTATCCTTCCGGGCACCCGAACCAACATATTCCCTTAAAACATCGCCATTTTCTATTTGATTGCCAGGAATATTAACCACTAGCCAATGAGTCCATTCTCGCCAGGCTGGATTTTCACGAGATGGGATATCAGGATTGATCATTACCAATGCATAGTAAGTATCATCACTATCAGCTTCCCATTCAACGTTTGGTTGATCCTTTACTTGCGTGGGAGTCAGTTCAACACCTCTATCGGCCGAAATACCACCAGAATATGTAACCTAGAAAAAATCAAGCCTATATTACTTAAAAAAAATCTCATTAAATAAATATCCTGGTCGCAGTTACGCACCTTCAATAAATACATGGGGGCCTCATCCAGGACATCGGGTATAATTTCAAGGTTTCTCATTAATTTTGTCAGCTCACTGTGTTCGGTGTACACCACAACCACTTCACAAATGAAATATATTATACAGATGTATGTAAAGGCCGTGGCCATATTTCACTTTTTATTTATTCGATAGGGTAATATGTGTATTTTTCTGATGTGTAAACTGAACTGACTAACTTTTTGTTTCAAATGTCCGGCTTAAACTCAATATTCTTGATATTTATACAAACAATATTAGTTGTTGCATACACATCTTATGTCGTGTGTTATTTTAAAATTACACAATTTTTAAGTAATCTAAGAGGGCTCGGAAGTAGTATATTAAAATATCGAAAAAAATAAAAAAAACTTAATTGTAAAATAATAATAATTTTGTGAAAAATATGAATGAATAGTTCAGATTTTGAATGAATGAACAAAATTATTATTATTTTTTTTTTAAATTTGGACTGAACTCAATACAAATCTAAAAAAATATAATAATTTTGTCAATTTGTGTATACGGTCCAAATTATTTAAATCGCTACGTATTTAAAATTATTTTTCATTATTGTAAAAAAATAGCCTAGAGAATAATTTAATGGCGATTTTGTATTTAGTTGTCATGATACTGGACTTTTATTTTCAGAAAGAATATACTGTATTTCCCGAATGCAAGGATGTATCAACGTCAAATTTTGTTGACATTTGGTCAAAAAAATAGTTATATGGTCTGGAAAAAATCGGGGCTCATTTGTGGTTAAAATACATGATTAACTTCTTACACATTCTCCCCCAAGGTGTAGGGCATCACGATGAGGACCTATACCAAACCGTAAACTGACATTCGATAAATCATGTTAGAGTGGTTGATCATTATATGGCGGTGTTAAATATTCATACAGTCACAGCTCGTATGTACCGTTCTTGTTGAGTGGTTGTAAGACACTGATTGATTTGATCTTTGGAGAGTTCTGCGTCATAAAATCTGAACAACAAATACCTTATCAGCGTTGCAGGTGGGTACAACACTCTTTTCGTAAAACACTACAACGATTAAATGTTCTGTATTACAAAATTCTGTTCAAAGTATTTTAAACAGGGGGCTACCGGAAAATTGTGCCAATATTGCTACTGCTATTAAAATCCAAAATATAAAATTACATACTGGAAATTGGGGCTTCCCTAAATGGTGGACCAATATTGATAACTTTTAGTACGAAAATTTACTACCACACAAAAACCCATAATACCAAATTACAGACAATTGGGTTGAAGGATGTGTCCAAAACCTCTAATGCCCAACTTGAATCCGAAATACTAAAATTTAGCCGTTTCTTTTGAAAAGTGTATCTAAAACCCCCAAAATACCTAATATAGTTGTACAGAACAGGCGCAGTGTTCGCAGGGTTTGGTGGATGTACTCAAGGAGTACAACGCCGATATTATTGCCTTACAGGAAATGCGATGGAAAGGGACTGGTGTAAGTAACTCAGATGATTACACCCTGTATTCTATGTGCCATGAAACGAAACATGAATTTGGCTGCGGATTTATGGTTAACAGGAGAATAAAAGACCTCGTCTACAGATTCACTCCAGTAGATGGGCGAATAGCTATAATCCGTATAAAAGCGAAGTTCTTCTACATCAGTCTCATTTGCACCCATGCTCCGACCGAAGATAAAGATGAACAGACCAAGGACATATTTTACGAGCGCCTAAAAACAGCATATGATCGTTGCCCTGGCCACGATTTTAATGCTGGAGATTTTAATGCAAAAATCGAAAGGGAAAATATATTTGTCCCCAACGTCGGAAAATTATGCCTTCATAAAGAAACATCCGTCGACGGCATGAGGTTGATTGACTTTGCGGCAGCAAAAAACATGGTACAAGGCACCAGATCCAAGCATCTCCATATATACAAGGCCAACAGGATTTCTCCTGATCAAGCAACGAAAAATCAAATTGATCATGTTGTGATAGACGGAAGTCATTCATCCAGTGTATTAGAAGTTCGATTGATCCGAGAAGCGAATATCGATTCGGTCCACTACCTTGTAGCAGCCAAGGTTCGCACTCGGCTTCGCAAAAGTGCGATCAAATGTAACACGGAAACTCGACGTCGAAAAGCTGCAAACACAACAGGTAGTAGTATTCCGCTCAACTTACCCACTTGCTTAAGGAAAGCACTCCTTGTCCCGATAATAGTATAGAAGCACAATGGCAAAGAATTGCCCACTCCCTACAAACTGCAGCAAAAGCAACACTTGGATACAAAAAACCACCATCAAACCAGTAAGGAAAGTAGTAAAGTCGGACGGGGCCGACTATATGATACCCTTCACCACTATGGGTATATTAAACAGGACTATTAGCATGAAATTGGATGAAATAAAATATGTGATATTTATCTAAATGTGAATCTACCTAGATCTATCCATAAAATATGTAAATCGACTTCAAACAAATATAAATAGGTCATCCGTTGGGCTATGTCTGTACTTCTGGAAAACGCAACTATATAATTTTATGCTTAATTTTGTACGATGTGCAAACTTTGATGTCAATCTGACTAACATGAGGAGTTTGATACCCAATTGACTTGAAATCGGGCAAAAATATATATGGTGCGTCAATTATTTAAAATCAATCTATAATAAAAAGGGCTATATCTATCTAAATCTGGACCGATTTTCACTAAACTTGGCAGACATCATTCTAGGCTCTATTCAGTACGTTATGCCAAATTTCGTGCAAATCGAAAGATATATAGGGACCGTTTACATTAAATCGGTTAAATATATATATGGGAGCTATATCTAAATCTGAACCGATTTTTCCCAATTTCAATAGGGTTCGTCCTTGGGCCGAATAAGTGATCCAATTCGGATCATAAATGCGACCTGTACTTTGTTTACAATTTAACATGGACAGACGGACGGACGGACATGCATAAATCGACTTAGAAAGTGATTCTATGTATATTCTCAAAAGGAACCATGGGTCTATCTCGATTATTTTTGCCTGTTACAAACATATGCACAAAGACATAATACCCTGTACCACAGTGTGGTGAAGGGTATAAAAATGCGGCTTCAGACCTGGCAAGTCCACCATTGACCAGATTTTCACTCTGTGCCATATCCTCCCCACGAAAAACACATTGACACATTCCATCTATTCGTCGACTATAAAGCCGCATTCGATAGCCCTATCCGTTCAGAGGTGTTTAAAGCCATGTGTGCGTTTGGCATTCCTGCAAAATTAATTCGGCTATGCAGGATAACTTTAACTGGCTCAAGATCAGCAGTTAAAGTCGGGAATAACCTCTCGGAGTCCTTTACTACCGAACGAGGTTTAAAATTCTTCTGGAAAAGGTCATACGAGAGGCAAAGGTAAACAGAAATTACACTCACCAGTTACTCGCATACGCCGATGACATCGACATTGAAAACGGTAACAGCCACCTTTTAACAAATTGAGGAGTCTGCCAAAATGGGTATGGTAGTAAACGGCGAGAAGATCAAGTTGATGGTATCAACGTGCAAGACGTCCAGTAGACTCGGACCAACTGTGGAACTTGAGAACTACAGCTTCGAGGTAGTCAAAGATTTTATATACCTTGGTACCGTCATAAATAAAACTAATGACATCAGTTTTGAAATACGGAGAAGAATAATTAATGTTGGGTAACTGAAGCTACTATGGTCAGAGTAGGAAATTCAAAAACAAGGCCACCTCCCGCAGAGACAAAACTCACACTCTACAAGACGCTGATACTACCCGCCATGTTATATGGACCTGAAGGATGGGTACTTGCGCAAGCAGATGAGACAGCTCTTGCAGTGTTTGAGAGAAAAATTCTCCGAAAGATCTATGGGCCGATCTGCGTTGACGGTGAATATCGCCGTCGAATGAACCATGAGTTGTACCAACTATTCTCGGACATCGACGTATGTTAGACGTATTGAGTTGTAGCAACTACGTTGGCAGATGAGGCAGCTCTTAGAGTGTTTGAGAGAAAAATTCTCCGGAAAATGTATGGGCCGATCTGCGTTGACGATGAATATCGCCGTCGAATGAACCATGAGTTGTACCAGATATTCTCGGACATCGACATTGTTAGACGTATTGAGCTGCAGCGACTACGTTGGCTAAGTCATGTTGTGAGAATGGATGAAGATGCCCCAGTCCAGAAGGCATATAAAAACGAACCAGCTGATGGTTCACGCAGAAGGGGAAGGCCACGAATAAGATGGAAAGATCAAGTGGAGGACAAAATTGCCAAATGTGATCTTTCAAACTGGAAAAACTGTGCAAAAGACCGACGCGCCTGGAAATCTTTTTTAAGCTCGGCTTATGGAACGAAAGTTCTGTCGCAAGCCAGCTAGCTAAGTAAGTATATGTCTGTAACAGGCAAAAGGAAATGAGATAGACCCATGGTTCCTTTTGAGAATATGCATAGAATCACTTTCTGAGTCCTGACTGTCCATGCTAAGTTGTAAACAAAGTACATTTCGCATTTATGATCCGAATTGGAAGAAATAGTTAGATATAGCTCCCATACATATTTTCATCCGATTTAATGTAAATTGTGCACTGATTGTCCGATTAAGAAAAAATTTAGACTTTTCGATCTTGTCAGATGAAATATGGAATACCTTACTGAATTATTTCTAAAATGAAGTTTGTTAAGTTTAATTGAAATCGGCTCAGATTTATGATAATATATCCAGTATTGCTGTTTTTTTCCTAGATGTAGCTTTCATATAAACCTTTAGCTTATCATCAGGCCAAGATTTGCTTTTTTTAATTTGTATTGAATGTCTTATAGGATCCTCGGTGCGGCTTTGATAGCTAAGACATCAACCCTTGAGTGTTTTTTCGAATATGTTTCTCGAAAATAGATGCATTCTTTAAAATTTCAGTGGTATTATTTTTTTGTTAATAAAATAAAACACATTTACTTTTTTAATTTTTTACATTTAATAAATATTTATTTTTCTTTCTTCATTCTTAAATAGCATTTTGATTTAATAAATTAAATAAATATTAACTTAATCTTTGTTTGTGCTTCATTTTTTTGGATGTCATTTGGTCGATGAAAGTGAAAGTGGGAAAATAAAAGTTCTAAAAGATTTAGACAGTCTTATGATGATAGGAAATAGTTAAGGAGAGAAAAAGAGATAGATAGAAGTGATAGATAATAGGAAAAAAGGAAAAAAAGAAATTATGAAAATAAAAAGGATAGTAAAGAGCTAGAAATAAAGATAGCAAGGGGTGGATAGAATAGATCGTGGTGGGTAAATGACTTTATGGCCTCTTCTTGAAGAGCGTTGAATGTGAAAAAGAACTATTTAAATTAATTAACAACTATTACAAGAGAATAAATTAACAATTATTTTGGTTTTGTGGTGATTTCCCGTTGGATATCACCAATCATTACGTTTACCTATAAGCTTGTCCTGGATTTTTGGTTATGGGAGTTTCGTTTAATGGGAATTTGCTGGGGGGAGCTTAGTATGAAAGCATGATGGGTTTGTTTGTTTGCTGCTTTCGTCAACCTCTTAGAGATTAATGGCAATGGGATTGTGAGTTAAAAGTCAGAGATTTACCAAGAAATCTCTTCATTTGTAATTCACTCCCTGCTTTTGTGTTTTGCGGGGCGAACACTACTTAAGAGGAGCTGCTGTAGCTACTGGGGTGGTAGCTGTTGTAGGCCATGTAGTGGGCATCGGAACGGGCATAGGGACCACCACTGGGAGTTTCCCAGCTGCTGGGTTCGTAGGAGGAGGCAGCGGGCACTGGAGTCATGGACATCTTAGCACCACCCAATTTCTGGATCAATTGGTAGAAGAGGAAGCCCAACACCAATTTGATGGCAATCTTGGACAAGATCAAAGCCTTGAAGACCTTCAATTTGAGCAAAGCCATTAGGATGGGCATAACAACACCCATTTTCAATTTCAAGAGCAACAACAAGGGCAAGAACAATTTATTGTTCTTCTTCTTGTGGCCACGAGCTGTAAATAAATTAAATTGTTTAGAAAAACAAATTAAATTCAGATCTCCTAGTGAAACTCACCATCAGTGGATTGAGGGATTTCCAAATCGAAACCACGATCAGCACGGTAGGTGACAACGGAGTTGGCAAAGACAGTTTCGGGCAATTGGACGCGGATTTCGTTGTTCTTCAAGATGCGGGCAACACGATCGGCAATAACGGTATCGACAACATCATCGTTCAAGGCACGGCCACTGACATCCTCATCAACACCAGCCACAGTATCCAAATAAGTCAACACCTTCTCGTTCAGACAACGGAGGGCATTCGAGTTGAAGCAGTTATCCACAATGCTCGAGATCAATTCCTCCGAGGAGTCAATGCGTGGCTCGGCCACGGCATTATCAACGGCAGCAGCATTCAGGGGAGCTGCAACAGCCAACAAGAGACAGCCTACGGCCAAAAATTGCGTAAAACGGAAGGCCATCTTCAAAATTTGTGATGAGAAATAGAAAAAGGTTTCGTTTGAATTTTGGGATAGCGAAAATCCGGGCTACTCTATGTGCTGCCGATGTTCACAATAGAATTGATTCGAAGACAATGATACTAATTTCACCGAATACTCATGATTTTATACCAATGTTGACAACGGTGCCAAAGAAATTCACAATTCGAAGACATGCCTGGTGGTGACGCAAAAATACAGCACCAAAGACAAGAAAACAAAAACAACAGTAGCAGTAGCGGGGCCCAATAGAGACCAAAATCGTACACGGGAAATCGATCGATCGACAATTTCCAAAGGTACCAACTACCAAAACAACAACAACAACTTACCCAAACCCAGTAGCCGTCACAGTGATAGCGACAGCAACAACAACAACAACATGTGCATGAACAGCAATTGCTTTTTGGCTTTTTAATATGTTGTACGCACATATTTGTTTTGTTTAGCAACAAAACTTTGCTATGCTGTCCATTTGCTTAACTCTCCCGTATCTCTTTCTTTTTGTATGGCTAACAAACACACATACACACACACAACGTTGTGCATATTTTTATCGAAAAAAAAACAAAATTGTTTTCTTCACTAGACTCGAACGCATTTTCGAATATAAATTGTCATCACAATTAACACCCCCACCACCACCGCAATCACCACCTACATTCTGGATAAATATGCTGATGCCAAGGCAACAACAATTTATCACAACCACAATTACCACCACCTCCACACCAACACACACATTCACATAATAATGTGTCCCAACATAATTGAAAACGAAATTTATTTTTAATTAATTCACATTAAATATGCGGAGCTGTAATTTCTTTTCGTAATCCAGTGAATGTCCAATTCCCAAATTCCTATGGGATTTCATTTTGTGTTGGCATAATTGTTGACGATTTGTATGTGGCGTTTTTTTTTCACTTATTTTGTTTTTTCGTTTTTGGTCATCCTCAATTTTATGACACGCGACACTCGATTTGACATTGAGGAAGACCAAAAAAGGGGTTCAAGGTTTCTTATATTTTAATACCTATTTGGGGTGGTATTTTTAGAAAATGTCATTTTATTTCTCTGGAAGATTTAAAAGGTATTGTTTGAAAATAGTATTTACACGTGTTAAATATCCCAGGCTTATTATTTGAATAATACTTGGTAAAGGATATTTTAAAATATTAATTTTCACAAATAAAAAAATATTAAGCATGATTCATGAATCAACATAGCTTTTACCAAAAAGCGAACAAGTACAAAAGTTGTCAAAATCTTCAGTATATTAAAATCATTCGGTACCATTAACACTAGAACTCCTATCGAAATATTTTAGGGAGATTTAAAAATAGTAGGAAATTACTTATATGCAAGTAAAACCAGTAATGAAAGTAGTAAAGTCGGGTGGACCAACGCTGATAGCCTTCACCTCTTTGTATACTTACTAATATTTTTATTGTAAAAGACGTAGTACTTTTGACGGACCATGAAATCGGACGAAATGAAATACGTGATCCGTATCTTTATGAGAAACAACAATTGTCATTCTCTAATCTATGCAAAATGCTATTCCAATCGAAGAGATGTAGAGTCGTTTATGTACCATTTATACGAATCGGACCAAATTATGCAAATTTGGTTCGACTTAAAGAAATGTGTATAGAAGTTTTGTCTCAATCGGATATATCTTGAGATTTTGGTTCACCATTTACATAAAATCAGACGAAATTATACATGGGAGCTATATCTGTATCTGAACCGGTTTTCCAATTTCAATTGGGTTCATCCTTGGGACAAATAAGTGGGCTGTGCCAAATTTCTTTCAATTTGTATCATAAACGCAACGTGTATAGACTGAGGAATGGACATGCATAAATCGGCTCACATGGTGATTCTATGCATACTCTCAATAGGAACCATAGATCTATCTCGTTTCCTTTTGCCTATTACAGACTAATGCACAAATTCATAATATCCTGTACCACAGTGTGTAAACGGGTATAAAGAGTATCAGTCAGTCATATACCTTCAACCTGTGGTATAGCTATTTAAGAGTTTTCTATCTGTTACGAGTGTCATACACCTAAGTCTGTTTTTACACGGTCTTTTTGTACACGGTTTTAAAAATTGAATATTTTTAATTTTTTTTAGACGATTTTATTCCATTTAGCACGATTTGAAATTTTATGTACTTAAATTTTTTTTTCAAATTTAATTTTTGCGAAATATGTTCATATCACAAAAAAGTATTTATGAAAGCAATAAGTCTGAAACCATCGATAGTATCGATAGTTTGCGAACACTAAATTAAAGATTTAAGTAAATTCCCCTTTAGCGCGTACAAACTATTTTTACTGGTCAAAGCAAATGTTAATATCACTAATTTAGGGGAATTCCCTTTATGTATAAGATCAATGTCTTTTTTACACGTTTTTTTTTACACGGCTTCTTCTGGAACCAATGCACCGTGTAAAAACAGACATAGGTGTATACGATTGGCATGTTTTCAACATTTTTACCCTTTGTGTAAGATGTATTGGAAGAAGTGAACAGATAAATTCTATCTTCCAACAACATACAGGTATGCTTAAACCAGTGATCGGAGCAGTATAGTCGGACGGGGTCGACCATGTGATACCCTACACAACTATCACGGAACTCTAACTTTCTTCAGATCTATATTCCATGAATGAGCAATATTTCGCGATATTTGCACCCTATTAACCGATTTGAGGTCAAAAGCTTATATTTCTTGCCATGACATCTTTTTCGAATTATGTTTTATATCATAATATCCAATTTTTTTCATTTTACACAGAAAGGTCTTGTTTGACTTGACCAGCTGAATAGTGAACGATCATTTCAAAAGCCCATCAAATTAGTTGGCCAGATTCATTCTCTAGTATAATATTCGGCTTATTATTGTGGCATATAGATCGACTTGAAAAACACAATAAAAATAAGCTTCGGTCCACTTCATCTCAAAATTATTATGTGATCATCTCCGCAAATTATAGGCGTTGTCCTTGACCATAACCGGAACCTCATGGACATTTTAAAAACGATCAACGCTATATTTCCGCCCTACAGTGTGGTAATGGGGTACTAAATAATATCTGAATACGTAAGCACCTGTAAATATTTAAGTGTAACTCTCATATCCGAGCACATATGACAATATAGTTGGTATCAATATAAAAGCCAACAACTCCTCTTGGATATAATATAAATTTCTCGGGTCGATGTCCTTCAGGGGCAAATATATACGCCATAGAATAAAAGTCATGGCCCATTTAACCCGCTAAATATTGACCAATCTTTATAAAAACAGACATGCTTATTCTATAACCCGATCTCCTTCTTCATATATAGCCTTGATCTCTCAAAAATGTTGGATCCACAGCCAACCTAATTACTGTGTCTGTTCCACGCAGAAAAGAAAACATTCGTTAACTTTTTTAGATACCTTGTCAACAATCTTATAAACTTTTCACTTCTTCAAAAATATACGTTCTATTAACTGATTCTGTATTCTGGGACTCTTGGTACCATGTCCGGACTGTATGTCGGATGCATTAAAACTTCCCAACCAAGCTCCCGAAGTTTCTGGCGAGTCACTTGGTGCAATACGACACCTTTCCTGTTGGCCTATACTGGCCGTTTCTGCTCAATTGCTATTGGCCATATGGAAGCAACTCATAATAAATAATTAACTTCCAGTCCCACCAAATTCTTAGCAGAACCTTCCTGAGCGTTAGTCCTGGCCAACGTTTCATGTTCTTCACCGCTTTTGACCACGATCGTTTCCGCACAGGGTTATCGTATGTGATCCATTCCTCTTCTATAGCCACCATCCGCTTAAGAAATTGGTCTATCTCATTCCGTTTGCCCAAAGCTTCGCAGATGGAAATTCGATCCATCATATTTTTTTCTGTTGATGGTGTGGCACCCAAACATCGAGCTTCTTTTTAAATCCAGCTTTGTGTAAATGGCTTAAAAAAGTTTTATGGTCGATTTTTAGCTCCTGTCGATGTTACGACTGCTAACATGCCGGTCAACTTCAATCATTTTTCCGATTTTATCGACATTTTCGAGGACCTGCCTAATGGATTTCTTTTTCCATACCATTATACAAAAGCTCCTTTTGCTGAATATGCGATAAAAGAAGCCCGGGGACCGGTCCGGGCCGGGTATAATTAAAACCAGTAAGGAAAGTAGTAAACAACTCAATATGAACAACTTTGGGTATCCGAAAAGACAAAAAAATCAAAATATTAAGTATGTGATTTTTATATATTTATATATATATATATATATATATATCTGAACCGATTTGAAGCAAACTTGCCAGAGATTAATTTATATTAATTTCAATACGTTGTGTAAGACTTTTGTTGTTGGTGTTGAGATTTTATAACGCACACGACGCACTATGGGCCAAGAATCCATTTTTTTTTTTGGCAAAAAGTCAATTTCAGGTCAAGTCTATAAAACGTTATATATTTGAAATCTGGGGACTTTGAGCTTTTAACAGTAACATTTTATTTTTTGCGAATATAATTTATAATTAAAAATGTTATATAACATTAACATGCGTCATAATATTAATATGAAATGCTGGACAATTAAACAGAAGGGACTAATGATTATAATGGATGTGAAAATTACCAGTAATTTGAAGATATTTTTTCCAAGTAATTCATTTTTATTCATTGTCATAATAAAAAATTTCGCATATAAAACTAAATATAATTTTTTTTCCAAAAATTTTGAATTTGAGAACTTAGTGCCAAGCAGTGCCAGAGGATATTTTAATTGTTTTAACACCACTCGACTTTATATGCTCTCAAAATTTTGCGACCGTCCATGCGTTGCAATGTTTTAAGATAAAAGCCTAAAATCCCACGTGTGACGTTGATAAGACTTTTGTTGTTGGTGTTGAGAATATAAAAACACGACGTTAAAAATTGAATTTTATAAAAAAAAAAAAATTAAAATTGTATTTTACTAACATAGCATGCAGATGATAAAATTAATGATGTACATGTTGCATTTATTATCTAATTGTGATATAATTGTGTACTGTTCATTTAATTCGTCCAAAGACTAACACCATGTATCGGTTCAGATTCAGAAAAATCAGTTTAAACGTTGCAAATTTTGAAAAAAATCATATGTAGGGAAAATTATCCAGTATCATCATTTTAGGGCGATTGTGCCGAACATAAATACACGTTTTATTATAATCTATTAACTAAAACTGATTCGTTCACACAACTATTAACTCCCAAATTCACATAACACTAATAATAATTTATTTAATATTTTTCAGATTTGTTTTAACAAAACTTTAACTTGGGATTACTTGGTAAGTAAGTAATATCTATAAATACACATATATATTAAAAAAATTGATTTGATTTTGTATAAGCGGTAGATAATCTTCATACCAAATATTATCAATATTGACTCATAGATTCATAGCACACTTGAATAACTCCCGAAAGTTAACGAACATTCAGCTTCCTTTTTATACTAATTTTGTTTTTTTTTTTCGTTTTAACTCATCGAAATAATCATTTGTGACCCTATAAAGTATGTATATTCTTTATCACCGTAAAATGTCCGTCTGTCATTTGTAATCACTCTAGCCTCTAAATGAATTGGGAAAAAATCGCCAAGATTTTGCATAGAGCAATAGAGTCTTTTGTCTGCAGGCAAGACAATTTGCAAAAAGGCGTAACCAACAAAAAATTCAGTATTTTTTATTTTAAGGGTTTTTTCCGCTGTAATTCGCTATAATTTAGTCCTCCTTTTGCACCCTCCACCATAGTATGGAATGTATATTAGTTTCGTCTTTCCATGTCTAACTCATCGGAATAATCATTTCTTGATCAGCGTAAAATTCTATGACGATTTAAGCATGTCCGTCGGTTGTAATCACTCTAACGTCTAAACGAAATGCGATAGATCGCACTAGAGTCTTTTGTTTGCAGGCAGGTCAAGTGCGAAGATGGGCTATATCGGTTCACTTTTAGGCATAGCTCCCATATAATAGTACCTCCAATTTTCGGTATTTTGGGGTACTTAAGAGCGTTTTTCAATCGAATTCGCTTAAATTTGGTAAATTGGGTTCTTATTAGGTACCAAATAGCTCCATTAAAAATTATAAAAATCGGTTCACTTTTTCTGGTAGCCCCCATATATCGGTACCCCCGAATTTTCAGTATTTTAGGGGGTTTTGATCGTATTTTTCTACCGAATTGGAGTTCTTATTGGGTAGCATCTCTTGGTAGCAATCTCTTCACTAAAAATTATAAATATAGGTCAATTTTTTCTGGTAACCCCCATATAAGGGTACCCCCAATTTTCTGTATTTTGAGTTTCTTGAGCGCGTTTTTCAAACGAATTCGCTGCAGTTTGGTTTTTTTGTAGTCGTATATGGTAATTAATCTCCCTACCAAAAATTATTAATATTCAACCGCCTTTCAGGGGGTTATACCCTTCACCACACTGTGGTACAGGATATTATGTCTTTGTGCTTATATTTGTAACTGGCAACACGAATCGAGATAGACCCATGGTTCCTTTTGAGAATATGCATACAATCACTTTCTGAGTCGATTTATGCATGTCCGCCCATGTTTTTTTTTTTTGTGAACAAAGTACAGGTCTCATTTATGATCCCATATAGATGAAATTTGGCACACAATTGGTGAGTATCCATTAGGATTTTTAAATATCGCCCATATATATTTTCGTCCGATTTATTGTAAATAGTGCAATAAAATCCCAATATTTATCCGATTGATGTGTGCGAAATTTAGTGATAATCAGTTCCCAATATTTTCATTTCAAGTAACTTAACACTATTTTCACTTGTTTATATAAAAATGGTTATCTGAATTGCTCCGCGTATATATATTCCTCCATATAATAATACATACGAATTTTTGTTATTTTTAACATTTAGCATGAAGTACAATTGTTGGTATAGGTATATATTGTTTTTGGTGTGTTCCCTATATTTTCATTTCTAGTAAATATTAGTATAACTATGGTGGAGGGTATCCAACGCTTTTTTCACTTGTTTATAATTTGGCTTTTGAATTTTTGTATAAAACACACGTTATTTTCTTTTTCAAAAATATTTTTATATTATTTTTTTTGTTTATTTTTTTAAGTGCATTTTTAAAATAATTTAAATAAATATTAACTTAAACTTTGTTTTTTTTTTCATGTTATTTGGTCGTTTTTTGTTTGGATGCAAATGATGAAGAGTTTCGAAGATAGAATAGAAAGAAAGAACATTCTTAGAATGCTATAGAGAAAGTATAGAAAGAGAGTAGACGAGAAGGGAGGTAGAAGAAAGAGCAATAGTTGCTAACATAAATAACTGTGAAGACTAGAAAAGTTTCATGGAATGTTGATGAGACCTCTTTTTTCAAAAAGAGTTTTCTTTCTGTTGAGATGAGGATAAATAAATTAATTTACAACAGTTATCACCCAAGGATATACATCCTTTGGGTTTGATCTCGTGTAGTTACCAAAATCCGGGGTTTAGAGCGCGTATAGCCTATGGTTCGTCCAGTTTTTTTTTTGTTTTTCTTAAATGGGATAATGAGGTTTTCTTGGAAGGGATTCTTTCAGAAGACCATTGCGTCTTCTTTAATTCCTTGGGGAAAGAGTTGGAAAGACGTATTGCGTTCTTCTCTTTCGTTCTCTCCCACCTGATAGGTTTGTTGTCATTTAAGAAGAGCTGGTGTAGCTGCTGGACGAAGATGAGGAGCTGGAACCAGTGCTGGAGCTGCTGCTGCTGGGATGGTAGCTGTTGTAGGCCATGTATTGGGCATCAGAACGGGCATATGGGCCACCGCTGGATGGTTCCCAGCTGCTGGGGTCATAAGAGGAGGCAGTGGTGGTGGGTACACCGTATTCGGCAGCGGGCATTGGTGGTGGCATCATTGGGGACATGGTCATCTTCATACCGCCCAACTTCTGGACAATGTTATAGATGATGAAGCCCAAGACCAATTTGATGGCGATTTTAGACAAAATCAAAGCCTTGAAAGCTTTAAGTCCAATCAATGACATCAAGATGGGCATGACAACCTTCAATTTCAATTTCATCAACAACAACAAGGGCAAGAAAGCTTTGTCCTTCTTCTTATCACCACGGGCTGAAATAGAGTTTTGATTAACTTCAGTTCTTCTTGAGATTTTGTATTAATCTGCCAACTCACCTTCACTTTGGGGAATTTCCAAATCGAAACCACGATCAGCACGATAGGACAGAACGGAATTGGCAAATACAGTTTCGGGCAATTGTACACGGATTTCATTGGTGTTCAAGATGCGGGCAACACGATCTGTGATAACCTTTTCGATAACATCATCGTTGAGGGCACGTCCGCTGACATCCTCTTCAACACCAACAACAGTATCCAAATAGGTCAACACCTTCTCCTTCAGGCAGTGCATGCCATTGGCATGGAAGCAGTTATCCACAATGGTCGAGATCAATTCTTCGGAGTTGTGAATACGTGGCTCCGACACAGCATTATCAATGGCGGCAGCATTGAGGGGTGTGGTGGCGGCCAACAGCAAACAGCCTACGGCCAAAAAGGATGTGAAGCGGAAAGCCATTATAATGTTTTCGATTTCTTTCTGTCTATATAGTAGCTATTAAATAAATTCCGTTAAAACTATTCTAGTGCCACTGGTGTTCACAATGGAATTGGTGTGGGAACAATGATTTAAATTTGCAGCCGTACTCATGATTTTATACTGCCGCTCCCCCAACATATAGTTGAAAAGAAATTACAAGTCGCCACCAAATGCAGAGAGTCCAAAACGCATGGCCTCAACTGCGTCGAAGGCACCAAAAGTCAAAACACCGCCAACAACTGCGGCAAACCTTACCATTGGAATGATGACATTTCCAAGTTTCAATGTACTTTTTTGGGCAATGGCGAAAGACTTGGGCAACAGTCGCACCCCCGTTCAACACTCGGACGCCTCAATTATGCTTGTAAATATGTTTTTTTTTATTTACTACCAAATATTAAAAATGTCGCTTTTTGCTGATATTTTGATTGATTTTTTGGTAATGGCGTTGGACACCTCAATTGCTGGGCTTTCTATACCAACCCAAATGGTCTGACGAAATCGCCACAGACCAAATTCAGTTGTTCGCTCGGTCACATGCCAACAAATTGTTGTTGTTGCCGTTGTCATATAATTTCAACTTTGCCGTGTTCGCCAATATTATTTCATTATGGCCAATAGCAAAAGTGTCCCAATCCCCCTAACCCCTTAAAATGCATTTCAGCGCAAACACACACACGTACACAGATTTTATTTTCCTCTTTGATGTGCTGTTATAAAGTTGGCCGACATTACTATAGCCCGCCGAGCACGCGTTTAATCTCCCTTAAATGTCCAAAAAATATAATTGTTTTTCTGTTTTGGAAATATTTTTTAGTTTTTTTTTCTGCCTTTTTACAATGTTGAGGTTGTTGTTTGGTTTAAAACAACATACATACGAACGCTCACACGAATACACCTGCCATAGGTGGGCTAACGTACATTTTACCAAACGGATATTGAGTTTGTGACTAATTGATATGCAAAACCCATAGCTCTTACGACGTTAACTTACAAGTGACAATAGTAAAAGAAAATAATAAGACGAATGCAGGCTAAAATTTGTTTGGTGCCAAAATGCATTGTAACGAGGGTAGTTCCAATAACGATGGTGGTTAGGCGGGCGCTTGCCAAATATAGATTACTTCGCCTAACTAACTTTTAAGAATTTTCGACTTCTTTGCTTTTGCATCAGCTGCATAGAAATGCGCATCGCAGAATTTTTTGGTCAATGGGCTCTTGAAATTGTGATCGAAGATTCACTTTTCATGTCTTTGTGCATATGTTTGTAACAGGAAACGAAATAGACCCATGGTTTCTTTTGAAAATATCCATAAAACAAAACTATCCTATTAATACAAAATTTGTCATAACGTATTGAATTGAGACTATGGTAGAGTGTGTTATCTTTCAGATTTAGATTAAGCCCTGAAATATATTTTCGGCATATTTTAAGGCTGATTGGCACAACATTTAGCATAGAGTACTAAAGTTATAAACTAACGTGTGTTAAGTTTTGTTGAAATCGGTTGGGATATAGTATAGTTCCTATAGTTCGATTGGCACACAATTTGCATTTGCATAAACTACTTATGTTAGTATAGCTTAACCTGTCGTTGAAATCGGTTCAGATTTAGACATAGCTCCCATATATTTGTATTTTTTCGTATGATTTTAGATAAATAGTTCACAGGTCCAAAGTTTAGGCCGATTAGCGGCAAATTTTGCATAACCTACTGAAAAAAAAAATTTCGTCAAAATCGATTCAGATTTATGTACAGCTTCTGATTTTATTTAAATAGTTCATCAAGGATCCAAAGTATGTCTAATTGGCACACAATTTTGCACAACCTGTGGTAAGTTTCGTTTGAATGGGTTCAGATTTAGATATTGCTTCCATATATATTTTCGTCCGATTTTAGCAATGATGCACCAAACTCCAAATTCAACGGCTCTCCGAATGAGATTCAATTTTGCACAGTGCGCTGAGCTGCTGCATATCAATTTTGATTTAAGGGAACCCCCCCCATTCTCGATTTGAATTTTTTAAGATTTTCAATGGGCTGGTTAATCAATACCAATGCTTGTTAAGGTTTGTAACTTTGCACATATATAATTGAAGATTTAAAGAAGAAGAAAAATTATTTACAAAAATTTTTTTTTTATTGTTTTGTTGATGTTTTTTGTAATTAAAGAAAAGTCCTTATTTTTGATGGCGGGCATGATAACTCCTCACTGGAACATCGGAATCCGAAAATTCCAACGGTGTTAGAAAGAGTACATGTCTGGCTCTCGTATGAACTAGGATTATTGACTTCGCTCTAAAATTAACAAAATGGTGGACCTTTGAAAAAATATTTTTGGAAAATCGCCGATTTTTGACCAAAAACCAAATTAAAAAATAAGGAAGATCTTCACCGATTGGCTTTATCCTAGTTCATACGAGAGCTATACACTCCCAGAGAAACGATTGGATTATTAGTTTTTGAGTTATCGTGCCCGCCATTCGCAAAAAAATGTTTAGAGAAAAACGCGTTTAAAGTTTGAGAAACCCTTTAGCCGTCATTTGATGCTGACACACTAAATCGGATATATCTTCAACAGTTCTTGAGATTTTCACTTGAAATTTTGTAGAGACATTCTTTAATCAGTGTAGATTCGAATTATATCAACAAAAATTTTGACCCCGAGAATGGGGGGGGGGGTCCCCTTAAATCGTTTTACATAATATTGTCCCATTGTACACAGACGACTCTAAATTTGCTCGAATGAAAAAATAGTATAGATTGCAGAATGACCTGTACATGGAGTGAATGATGAACTGTCTTACATAATTAAGTTCGTCCAATTTGATGTCAATGGTTCTTCAAAAATGCGTGGCCTGAATATACCCAAAGTGGTGAAGTGTATCATATAGTCGGCCCTATCCGACTTTACTACTTTCATTACTTGTTTAACTATTGGAAAATAGTTTTCAGTGACGAAACGCATTGAGTACCTATATTCCTTTAACACAAAATGAATTTAAAAATCCTTGTTTTCCCTAAAATGATCTGTACCGTTTGATGCTTTTGAACAAAATGTAAGATCTTGCATGACATGTAGTTTCAAAAATACGTTGCCACATATCACGCGTAACAATGGGCTTATTGAGAAGCGTGTTCGGAGAACATTTTATTTCACGTTCTGGACTAGTGTTGCCAGCCTTTCTGGAAATGGTTGAATTGTCCAGCATTTTTTCATGCTTCCAATTTTTGCAGCTTAACCTCCCCCATTAATCAAATTGATATCAGATTAAAGATTATCATACACTGCACTAAAGGCCAGGAATCCAATTTTTTGACAAAAAGTCCATATCAGGTAGGGCCGATATAGCATTATATATTTCAAATCTGGGGACTGAGCTTAACACCAGTAACATTTTGGTGCATTGTGGGTCACGGTTTACAAATGGGATGAGGTCAAAAACAAAATTTAATATTTTTGTGAATATAATTTAAGCAGATGGAACTGGTGTTTATTATGAAGGTGAACATATTTAGTAATTTTAAGATAATCATAAAAAAATTCGTAGTTAAAATTCATAAATACAAATTCTTCTAAAAAATTGAGTTCCGGAACCTAGTGCCAGGTGACATTTTAATGAATATAGCAACAATCGACGTCTTATTATGTTCTCTGTCCCCAGAGAACATATAGTCTGCGACTGTTCACATTTAAGAGTTATTGCCAATCATAAAGCAATAGACGTTCAAAATTGGCTTTAAAATTTTAATAAAAAAAAAATAAAATTGACTTTTACTAACATAGTATGCTGACGATAAAATTGGAAGATATTAGTCTCATCTTCAACTAAATTGGCTTTAATTTGGTGTTCTAAGTTCGCACATATTCTTACAAAAAATTGTGAATATTGTCCCACTATTTGGGGTAGCACCCATATAACGGTACTTCATCTACGTACGCAAATGAAGTACGTACGCAACAAAATTGCATGCACCAAAAATTTTCAATATTGACTTTGGTTTCAGATCCCCATTATTTGATAGATTGGGGATTTTGAGCACGTTTTTCAACCTATTCAACATAATTCCAATTTAATTAAGGTATACCATACTTTTAAGACCATAATACATAAAATTTGATTTCATGCTATTCTTACTTTCCAAGGAAGGAAATATTTAGTTGATTCTTATATTTGATCCCCCTATTTTTAATTCCAGAAAACGTGTTAAAAAATTGATTGATTAAACTTTAAAATAATCGACAGCCTTTTTCGATCCATCCAATTAATATTTTACGGTTTTCTTGAAGAATCAGCATTCTCTAAACCCTTATATGTGACATATTTTTTCATAAACCCACTACTTTGACTTTGCGCAAAAAATGGGATCTCTGGCCTATAGTGCGCAGTGGCAGAAGTCAGGGAAATTACAAGAGCAAAATGTCTAAATATAGGGGACTCCCATTCTCGAACAAGTAATAATTTCAACTGATTTCGCAATTATAGCCGGTTTATGGCGACGACAAGTACGCTTCTAAGCATTAAGGGAACCCCCCCATTCTCGATTTTATTTTTTCAAGATTTTCAATGGGCTGGTAAATCAAAACCAATGCTTGTTAAGGTTTGTAACTTTACACATATATACTTGAAGATTTAAAATAGATGAAAAATAATTTACAAAAAATGTTTGTTATTGTTCTGTTGTTGTTTTTTTGTAATTAAAGAAAAGTCCTTATTTTTGATGGCGGGCATGATAACTCCTCACTGGAACATCGGAATCCGAAAATTTCAACGGTATTAGAAAGAGTACATGTCTGGCTCTCGTATGAACTAGGATTATTTGGCTTCGCTTTAAAATTAGCAAAATGGTGGACCTTTGAAAAAATATTTTTGGAAAATCGCCTATTTTTGGCCACAAACTAGGTTAAGAAATAAGGAAGATTTTCACCGATTGGCTTTATCCTAGTTCATACGATAGCTATACATTCACAGAGAAACGT